CCAGGGCTCACCTGTAAAAGACATGTTTAATCTCAATGTGATTACCTTGCTTAAATAAAAGTAAAATAATAATTAAAAAAAAAATTACATCTTGTTTGACTGTATGACGTCAGTACAGATTGCACATGTAAAATTCAATAGAAAATACTACCATGGTTAAAATAACTTGATGAAAAATAAGAAATACAGACCACTCAAGTCGTGCCATTATTCCGTAGTTACCATCAGGCCCACACTAGGAACTCCAGCTCTAAACTGGATTTCTCTATGGGATTTTCATGGGATCATTGCTGTTGACTCCTGTGGTGAACAAAACTGTTCCAAACTCTGTATGTTTTGTTCTGCGTAAGCATAAATTTGCAACAAGTGAGCTAATACTGGCAGAAGAAGGCAGGCAACCTCAACAAAATACTCCGAACAAACCAGCAGGTTTTGTCAAGCATTGTAGTTAAGCTGCTCTGGCAGCAGTAGAGTAGACTTTGAGTAGCCGTTGTTATTATTTAATATCATTGATTAATAGCAGACTCTGATGCAATGTCATTTCAGTGTGCAGGAGTGGGAGCTTGCTTGTTGCATGGATGTAGCAATGTCCGTATTTCGACTCCTTAAGGAGCTCATAATTCAGAGGATCCAGGGACATTTAGCAGAAAAATGTACGTAGGACAAAACATATCAGATTTAGAACCTCATCTGGACTTGGTGTTCCTGGACTTGGTGTTCCTAATATGGGCATTACAATAACTATGGAATAATGCATGACTTCAGAGGTCTATAAGTAGTAATTCACATTAACTTCTGGGTAGCTCCACCCCAGTGCTACAATATCATTAGTCAAGACTAAATTTCTCAGTTTTATTAATGTTTTAGATCATACTATATATACATATGTTATAATATAGCTACATCTCTTGGTTTATAAGACTAAAATATAAATATCAAATATCAGCTGATATTACTGGTAATATAATTATATATATATATATATATATATATATATATATATATATATACATACATACACACACACACACACACACACACACACACACCGATCAGGCATAACATTATGTCCTTGTTTCTACGCTCATTGTCCATTTTAGGTGTTTTTAAGCACCTCAGTGTCACTGCTGGACTGAGAACAGTCCACCAACCAAAAATATCCAGCCAACAGCGTCCTGTGGGCAGCGTCCTGTGACCACTGATGAAGGACTAGAGGATGACCAACACAAACTGTGCAGCAGCAGACTGACAAGGTAGGAGTGTCTAATAGAGTGGACAGTGAGTGGACACAGTGTTTAAAAACTCCAGCAGCACTGCTGTGTCTGATCCACTCAGACCAGCACAACACACACTCCACCACCATGTCAGTGTTACTGCAGTGCTGAGAATGATCCACCACCCAAATAGTACCTTCTCTGTGAGGGTCCATGGGGGTCCTGACCACTGAAGAACAGGGTAAAAGGGGGCTAACAAAGTATGTACAGTCTGTAATTGTAGAACTACAAAGTGCACCTGATAAAATGGACAATGAGCGCAGAACCAAGTCATAATGTTATGCCTGATCGGTGTATTTATAAAGATATGCCTGGACACAGTTTTCTTATCGGTTAGGCACTACAGAAAGTAAGAAATGAAGCGAAAAAGAAACTTTCCGAAAGAAAAACGGAATGTAGATTTTCTGCTTGCTGGTGATGTGAAAATGACAGCGTGTTTACAAACTCAATCAGTCAAAGAAAAGTACTGAGAACAATAACATTTACACCAACTTCAGGAACAAACTGAACAAACACAAGAGCGGATGAAAATAAGTACATGTGGTTGCACGGACAGGATGAAAGCAAACAACACAGAATGGCCACAAAAATGATCTGAATGCACAAAACGAAGAAAAAGAAAATGACGGAGGACAAACACGAGCCCATGATTATGTAGAAGAGGAGACCAGAAAGGAAGAAACATGGAAAAATATGATGAACAAAAGAACAAAAAGAAGGACAAGAAGATAAAGTGATGGCATTCCGGTTGCCAGTGAAGATGTTTCTCACCCGTCTGAACAAAATGGCTGGAAGAGGGCATCTGATTGGCTACGCCCAAATGCCCTCCTCATCGTCCTATTGGTTGAAAATGAATGCAGAGGTAATCCAAGGCAGCGTGGAATTGGAAGGAAGAGTTAGTTAGTAGGTGAGACAAAGACAGCAGTCAAGCTGATTAGTTCAATATTCATTAGTTTCCTACAATGGGCTGCATCTGTCTGTAACCTACTGTGTGATCTGTAACTACAGAAACAGAATATGCTGCACAGTCATTTTCACAGACAAACTGTGGAAAAAGTGTAGCTAAAAAATTCCTCAAACTGTGAAATGCAACCATGCTCACCTCTGTCTTTCTATATTTTCCCCTATAAAACCATTAAACTGTGTGTGAGAGTGAAGAAAGATGTCACTAACTCTGCCTGGAATCCCGCTGGGAAGAAAGAGGGAATGATACAGTAGATGGGAAAAAGGGTCCAAGCTGTAGAACTATGACAGCATGTTTTTTTTCCTTGTTCTTCTGAGGGCGGCTATGGAAATACCTGTAATGAATAGAGGCTAAACTCTTTTACTCATCTACGCTGTGTTGTCTGTGTTTCTATGCTAACGTGATGGGAGGGGTCAGAGCGGTCTCGAGTGCTGATGCTGGTCTTATTTGAGTTGGACACGTGGAGGTGAAAAACGAAGCCTGGCAGGCCGAGCTCACAGGAAGGTCTGCTCTAAGTGTTTTCTTGGCAATCAGAGAAGAACAAATGAGAAGGATCTGAGACCAAGATGACCCTGGCTGAGATGGGGTGTGTGTGTTCCCAGTGTTCTGATGTTCCAGGGCTCAGCGGTGCTGACAGTAAGCAGCCTCAGCTAAGTAGCAGAAGCAGCAGAATGTTATGTTAGCTGAAGAAGCGACCCGGCCGATACGGTCATAAAATCGGTTTCACGAATTTATCGGCACGGACAGAAAACCTGATAATAAAGCACCAATCACGTGAAGCGTTTTTGTAAAGCTGAACAGACAACGTGCTCTTGTTTGAGAGTTCAACACTGTCAGAGTTTGATATTTAGTTTTAATATTAAAGGAATGATGTGGCAAAAAAACTAATATACATAATTTTCCACTTAACCCAGATCGATAAGCTGAGACGTGTGTGGAGTATAAATTCTCCTTCTTTAGTTATAAACTGGAGCTATAAGGATAACATTGCTAACAACCACCAGACATTAAAAGACAAATCTTTTCTGTAAATGCATCACCAAAAACTTAATTTGGGTCAGGCAGACTTGTCGACCCAGATTAGGACACAGTGTGACCTAATACGAACAATAAAAATGAACAACATTTCATAAATTAGCTGAACACTGTTGGCAGCAGTTTTAGACAGGTGCTGTGCCGAATTCAGACTCCCTTGCATAGTCATGTGCACACACGCCAGACAGCCATATGGATGCTAGATTACGTCTGGAATTTCTACTGTTTCTTTTAATAAACATACTTCAGTTCGAAAATTTAAGATTAACAGTTATTCATAAATAGAAACAGCAGAAATCATAAACGTAATCTGTGGCGTATGCCTATGCAACGTGAGGCCACACAAAGAGGAGTCAGAATTCAACACAACACCTATTGTCTAAAGTAGATGTCCTCAGCGTTAAGCGAATGTTTGTTCATTTTTTTCAGTTAAAGTAAGTCATACTGTGCTCTGAACCACATCGACAAGTGTGTGCAACCTTAATGAAGAACCAGGTGCAGTTTGAGTGGGTTGGGAGAAGTTTGATTTGGGTGGCTATTGACATCTTGTGTTTGTTAGCAACATTAGAAATGTAGCTCCAGTGCTAAATTAGGACACCAAACACCTGGGTTAAGTGGAAATTAGATTTAGTTAAAAAGAGTTAGATTTTTTGCCCCACCATTCCTATACATTATATATGATTAGCTTGTTTAATACTTATAAATTAGTTATTCAATTAAGTTGACAAATGAGAATCAAATTATTTGACAATGGTTAATGTCATATCAGTCAGTGAACCATTATTTAACTAAAACTACTGAAGCCAGTGGAATGTTTGAACATATAATTACGTCGGCTGATAATGGTTTTTTTTTTCCAGCTCTTTAAAAAAATTGTATCAGTGAGAAAAATTTTCAGGCAGTATTTGTAAAGGGTTCTGCATTGTGATCTAGATGTGGATTAGAACCGTATAACTAGAGTCTAGAGTGGCTTCAGAAATGAGTCCGTGTTAAAGGGGAAACCTGAAACTGGTGAGAACCAGTGCTTACTAGGGAAGCTGGAAATTAGAGAGACATGTTTGTGCATACTTTTATCTTCCACCAATTTTTTAAAATCCCTTACTTTATATCTCTCGACAAACCTTATCTTGTCATACAGCCATGCAACGGAAAGGGCTTAACGCTCGAGCGTTTACTGTTTAAAACAACAAAAACGCAAAGCAAGGCAAATCCCGGAGATCCATCCAGTGATTATGAAGGAGCTAAAGAGACGAGGCCGTGCACTTATGTGTTTCTGCGCCTGGCTGTGTGTACGTGGTGTGGTGTGTAATGTGTGTGTGCATGGACACACGCGCTCGAATGCTTTTAGGTGCCTTAATATGAAATAATAGGAGAGATTAGAGTTGAGGAGCTGTGTTTTATTGGATGTGAAAGATGTAATTTCCTGTTGCTTATGCTTGGCTGTAATGACTCTCCCTTATAAACCAGGACAGGGCCTTCAGGGATAAATTAAACATTATGGGCAGACGGGGCTAAAGAAAGAGTGTGGGGAGGAAAAAACAATAAGAGAGGAGCGAATGAGTGGGAAAGATGAGGAGGGAGAGTGTGAAAGAGTGAGAGGGCAGAGAGGAAAAGTCTAGGCTTAACCACAGAAATATAAAAACAGAGCAGAAAGGCTCTGGTAGAACGTGACGTGATGGTGTGGTGCACTTGTGTATTATAATGAAAAGGGCCTGCTCTGCACTCACCTGATCTGGAGAGGGTTTGTGATTAGTCTGGTCCGAGTGCGAGGAAGCCTTCAGATGGTCATCCTCATAATTATCGGCCATTAGCTTCATCCGGTTCTGTGTCTGAAAAATAAGGAACAGAAGTGCAGAATGGAAGTTATTACAAAAACGCACGCAGACCAGATCCTCTCTGCTCATACTGAATTTAAACTGGAGCCTTCTAGGCCCTCAGATTCCTAGAAGAGTTGAATGCATGCATCAAAACATACTGTGATTTATGATCAGGATTTGGTCTAAATATCCCCGACGTGGATTTTGACACTTATTTACGCTGCACACAGGACGCTCCATGCAGCATCCAAAAATTCGAAAGCATTTATTTATTAAAGCGCTAAGCACAACATTCGGCGTTGATGTGCGTCTTCCAGCATTGCTCAACTTCACTGAGCAGCACAGCACGTAGCTCAGCATTTTCTTTTCACTGCACAAAATTCAACCCAGAACGAGACCAGAGAAATCAACAGCAGGTAACTTAAAGCTTACACTGAGAAAAGTAGTTAACATAAAGTCATTAGTGGACCGAGTGGACGGCAAACTGAAACATGCAGAAATTTCTACTGCATGTACAGATAAAGACAGTGGCAGAAACAGTAGTGTGACTGATTTTCCCTACTTGGTTCTACTACTCTAGAACAGCAGGAGAGAATGTATTTCAGCACGCATGAGATTGTGCTATATGTGTGGCACGCCGGGAGAAAGAGAAGGTACAAGTGCTAATGTGACAGTATGGATGTAACAAAATGTAACATAAAGCATGAGATATTCTTCATCAACTCCTTAGTTTTGTTTATACTAAGAACCAGGCACAGTAATAAAAGCATAAAGATTGGCCAGTAGTGCCTCATTACCTGGCAATGTTTAATACAGAATCTTTGTAATTCACTTTATAAGTAGCCTTTCACTGACCAGTTAGCTGCTAATTTCAGCTAACACCCCTGTGGGAATTTGCAGTGTTGTTAGCACCAAGCTAGCAGTGTTATATAATCACATCCAACGCCAATTCCAGCTTAAACACAGGTGACGCTCATAACCTGTACACACGTAACATATACTTAATTTTTTATGCATTTTTACTCTTCTGGAAAAATCTGAATTTTAAGCTTGTTTCTCACCATTGCTGAACCACTCCGTTAGCCTATAAGCTACCTGCTGACTTTATCTACTGAGGCCAGAATACAGCTTAGTTACAGAGAATATAACGTGCAAACCAAATAAAGAGAGTCTGCTACAGCTACCAATGATATTCATTTGATTGTTCCTCATTTGGTTGAATTTTATAATGATTTTAGCAATAAAAGGCTTTCTCATGTGTCCATTAAAGGAAAATAAAATGTGTAGCATGACATAAACTCCTGCGATGGACTGGCGACCTGTCCAGGGTGTATCCTGCCTTGCGCCCAATGACAGCTGGGATAGGCTCCGGCACCCCACCGCGACCCAGAGGGATAAGCGGTTTAGATGGTGTGTGTGTGATATAAACTTAAAACAAAATGCTTTACAGCAAAAACAGTCAAATGCAGACACTGCGATTAAATTTACTAACAGCTGTGTGAATTTTAGTATTTAGACCCTTAAGCAGTTTATTAATTTAATACTTATTTTAACAGAACGTCATTATGCCTAACAGATGAAACCAACACCAACGCTGGCGCCAATGCTCACCGTCTGTTACCTCAGGTAACATAACTAGCCTAGTCTTTTTTCACCTGGCATCTGGTGGAAAACAATGAGTTTGTGAAGAGTTAGTTAGCTGATACCAAACATAATACATTCTATGGGAGAAGAATGTAAAATGAACTTGAGCTTGATGTTTCTTTGTGCTCTTAGGCTACATTCACACAGCGAGTAAAAGTGGCCCAAATCTGATTTTCTCACCAAATCTGATTTTTTTTGTTTGGCTGTTCACAGTATCTTTTAAATGTGATCTATTTGTGACATTAGACTGAACAGATCAGCTCCTAAACTGACCCACATGCGCAAAAGAACAATGCTTCACGCTGTTTCACGTGGCTCATCCAGAGGTAAACAATCATGACTGCCACTGAACACCAGTCACTCCCGGAGCTTTTGGTTTCATCTTCGCCACCTTCACAGGAGCCATCATGAAGCTTCACTGACTGACAGCTGGGCTCATCATCCAGAATGCGTTGGAGATCACCATAAAATGGCATGGTCACTTCTTTGTTTCGTGTCTTTGGCTTCTTTAATCTTTGCTATCAGACATTTACCTGTTCTTTGACGCTGCAGTCTCGTTTTCCTACGGTCGCGTTTGGTCATTTCTTTGGAAATCTCTTCAAACACAGAGGGTTTTGGAAAAGTCTCTTCTAATTTTGTACAGAAACATCACCCCAAATGTTTGAGATCTTAGCAGCGTGAAATTATGACGAATGTCGAGTTAGATTGACAAAAAAGTTGCATGAATTCCAATCTGGCTGTTCAGACTGAGTCGCACTGCCGCATATCAGATACATATCAGATTTCAGTACCATATATGAAAGCATCTCAAATCGGAATTGAAAATATCAGATTCAGTGTGTTTTTGCTGTTCACAGAGACATACAGACACACATCTGTGTCACACATGAAGAAAAAGATCAGATTTGGGCCACTTTTACCTGCTGTGTGAACAAAGCCTTAGTGTGACACATTCTATGTGGTATAGCTGCGCTTTCTACTGTCTTCTGTGATGCTATGCAATACGAATCTGATGTATGGTGCCCTTAATATTTCTGCAGGACCTCAAAGAAGAGCAACACAGCAGCACTAGTACTACTACTACTAGTCATACCAGCTTTAGTTGGAACGGTTTTCAGCAGAAGGGGCAAGAGGTAATTTGAGACGAGTGTTAAAAGTATTAAGAAGAAAGAGAGGTAGAGAGAGAGAGCAAGAGAAGGAGAAAGGAAGAGGAAAGGAGTAAATACACATGAATATGCATGACCGCATCTTCAAAAGTCCACCCACTCTTGAACTGAGCAAAGGAAGATGAATGAGCAGCAGATGGGTTTGTGTTTGACCCCCTCTAAGAACTTTTAGATGCACCAGAGCCTGTTATTTACACTAGAGTGACAGTGACGCAGGATTTGTGTACATTTCAGGCATCATCCAACTTTTCCCTCTAGATGAAGTTCATATGAGTCAAGTCTGCAGCAATGCCATGGAGAGGCACGTACAAACACGCCAATAACAGACTGTGATTTATATTGGCAAGCCAACCATCACTCCTGCCTCTCCACCACACAGACATGATCAAGAAAAGAAATGAATCAATTAGACATTAAAGTCAAATGAAAGCCAGGCCACGCCCTGCCCTTCCAGGCTCCCCGGAGGGGCTAACCCGCTCAACCCCACCCACAATGTGATGGTTGGGCTCCCTCTGTTTAGTTTTCTCGCCCTTTTCCTTTCTCTCCCATCTCCCTCCCCTCCTCTCCCCCTCTCGGTCTTCCTGTAAGGAGGCCGGTGTCAATGCTGGTAAACCCCAGGTTCAGAAACTTTGGCCTTCCACTCGTCCCCACACTGCAGAAGGTCAGTGTTACATCGCTGAAGTTGGCCTGAGTGAGAAAGAGAGGCCCAGTTTCAGGCAGAGAGCAGTAACAGCCTGGAGCGGCTGGGGGAAGGGGTAACTGGGCCCCAGGCAAGTGGAGAGGGCCAGTTTAGGGAAATAAAAGATTGGATGCTTGCCATTGAGTCTTTTCTCAAAGGCACAGGCACAGAGGGGATCAGACCCACTGTGCAATGTAAAGTATAAGCAAGTTCAGGTAGAGAGCAGCTATAAAACGCATGCTACACCTTTTTAGCCCCAATTTTCTTGTTTCAGACAAACTGATTGAAGACAAATGCCTGCTTGTGCTCATCATGGCTGTTAAAAGATCTGATTACCCAGTCTGCAAGTTATCACCGATGCCTGACGCAACAAATTATCTACAATGAATCGTGTGGTGTGAAGCACATGCTTGAGCAACGGCCAGACAGAGTAAATTTTTGGATGACAGGCCAGGAACAACCGGAACAATAATAATCAAAGCACTGCATCCTGCATGGACTCAACAAACGGAGGGAAGACGACACGTGATGTAAAGCTTGGAAATCATCACAACTGGCGAGAATAGGTGGAGATACACTGGCAAAGGAATGTAGAAACAACCACAACAGCAAACTGCTCAGGTTCCACTTTAGCAGTGTCATGTGATGGACATCTCTTTGCATTTATTTTGTGAGAGAGTGAAAGTGAAAGACTGTCAGCCTCTTCCGCACTCATTCGTGTACTCTGTGCACCATCATGTCACAGATGCAACAGTTTTCAAGTTATAAAAGTCATGGACTGCTTTCACATTACAATCCTCATTCCTCAATTCAGATTTTTTGCTCATATCCAATCTTTCTACATCAACAGTTCACACTGGTGTAGGCAAGTGCCTTAAATCAGTCACTGATGCGAACAAACCTAAAACGACCCTGGCAAGTGCACATCCGAATCAATTAAGTCACGCGAGTGAACCACGTTCATAATCAACAAACAAACTGACTAACCCGCTTTGACTTCGTCTCAAAGCTGTTCATTATTAGAGCAAGATGATGGTGAAAGAGGGTCAGATGCTTTAGTGATGTTTTTCTGGCAATAACTTCAGGTTAGGCGCTGCTGCCTTGTTAACGCTGAAATATGATACATGTGTAGTAAAAAGGACATTTCAATCTGACCATTCTCAGTAAGGTCACATGGTCACAAATCTGATTTGTATCCGGTCTCGGACCACATATCCAAGGCTACGTTCACACCGCAGGTAAAAGTGGCCCAAATCTGATTTTCTCACCAAATCAGATTTTTTTGTTTGGCTGTTTACAAATTCTTTTAAATGTGATCTGTATGCGACATCAGTCTGAACAGATCAGCTCTTAAACTGACCCACATGTGCAAAAGAACATTCCTTCATGTTGCTTCATGTAGCTTATCCAGAGGTAAACAATCATGACTGCCAACGAACGCCAGTCGCTCCCGGAGCTTTGTTTCATCTTTGCCAGCAACACAGGAGCGATCATGAAAATTCACTGAGCGACAGCAGAATGTG